GCCGCAGCGCATTCTCATCAAAGTATGGGACGCGTGGAAGGCGCCAACTCTCTGGCAGCGGGCCTCTTGAGGACCTTCCGGTTCGCGCTGGAGAAGCGGTTGGAAGTCACGATCGACGCCGACCACCCGATCCTACCCTTCGTGACGAACGCGATCGGCTGGTATATCACACGATTCCAGCCGCGGGAGCACGGAGGGTCCTCCTACAAGTTTCTCTTTGGCAAGGAGTACGATGGAGAAGTCGCCGAGATCGGCGAGCAGGTTTGGTATCGGATCGCTGGGCGGGTAGCCGGCGGTCAGGGCAAGTTCGAGGCCCGCTTTGCCAAAGGGGTGTGGGCAGGCAAGTCGGAGTTTGACGACCAGCACCTAGTGGTGGACTTGCAGCGCGGGCTCCTCAAGGTGCGCACGGTGCGTCGCATGCCCGAGGAGTTCCGCTGGTCCGAGGACCTGCTGAGGCAGATCAGCGTGACGCCCTGGGACCCCACACCAGCTAGGGCCAAGGAGATTGCGAGGCCCAAGGGCCTCTACATCACAGAGAGGATGATTGACAGACATGGGCCGACTTCAGAATGCCTCAAATGCTCCACAGGGCGAGGACAGCACTCCGACGCTTGCAGGCAGAGGTTTGAGCACATCGTCCAGGAGGAGCTCGAGCGGAGGCTCAAGACTGAGGGAGCCTCGCCAGCGACACCAGCGCCGCCTGGAGTGGCGCCTGGCACGCCCGTACCCGAGAGTGCGCCTGGTCCTAGTCAGCGCTCGCAGCCTGAGGACCGAGCGCCGGGCACACCGAGGCCAGGAGCGCAGGTGCAAGAGGCCACGGCGGACCAACCTCCCAGGAGCTCTGGCGGGAACATCCCCGACACGCCGATGGACACCAAGGACGACACGACTCGCAAGCATCAGGTCGAGGCTGCAGGATCCGAGGACCAGGGCGGCAAGCGCCAGAGGATCGAGCTTCTTGGTGTGAGGCCTGAGGTGACAGTCATCGCGTGCATGTCGGTGTGCGAGCTCGCGGTCTGCGAGGCGGACGACTCCGAGGAGTACGACCCCGTCTGGGACCCGATCCCCACGGCAGAGAGCCGATGCGACGGCAGATGCCCATCACATGGAGGACGGTGTGCACTTCGAGATGACCACCGTGGAGGCTGCGCCTGTCGGCTGTGCCTGATCCATGCTGCGCGCGCCGTGGAGGCCCCGAGCGCAGTGGTGGCAGGCCTGTACAGCATGTGGGCGGGCGGTCTGGATGACGAGGTTGAGAGCCCGCAGATGGTCCACTACGACTACTACTCAGGCGAGCCGTTGGACGAGGACCTCTACCAGGAGGGCAGGCGCGACGAGCTGGAGGCGATGAAGGAGTACGGTGTCTACACGGAGATCCCCATCTCTCAGTGCCAGCCAGGGGGGAAGCACGTCAGGGGCTTTCCGATCGCCCACATGAAGGGCGACAAGGTGCGCTGGAGGTTTGTCGCGACCGAGGTGAACGACAAGCACCGCGAGGACAACCACCAGGGCACGCCGCCGCTGATGATCATCAGACTGATCATTTCCCTCGCAGCATCCAAGTCTGATGCTGACGGCGTGCACCGTCGGCTGCTGCGTGTCTGGGATGTCCGCAAGGCGTTCTTCAATGCAGACTTGGACGAGCTGGTCTACGTGCATCCAGGTTGGGAGCTGTGTCCAAAAGGCTTCTGCTGGGTTTTGCACAAGGCGATGAACGGGACGAGGAAGGCCTCGCAGCTCTGGGGCGAGACGAGCAAGGCAGCGATCGATGACGCAGGAGGCAAACCGTTGAAGGGCACAGCTGGGACCTACTACTTCGAGAACTTAGTGGGTGACGGCATGGACGCCACGATGTGCTGCCACGGTGATGACTTCTTGGCGGAGGGCCACCGCGACACCCTCGACGCCATTGGCAACTTCCTGGAGGCGAACTTCGAGGTCACCGAGTCCGAGAGCATAGGCCCAGGTTACCCTGGAGAGCTGAACTACTTGAAGCGCATAGTGGGCTACACGAGTGAGTTGCCCGAGACCAGGATGCCAGGCTTCTACTGGAGTGCTGATCCGAAGCACGTGGAGGAGCTCATCCGCTGGGGCCACAAGTCGGGTTCCAAGGCTGCGCCTACCCCTGGAACAAAGGCTACGGGGGCAGGCATGAGGAATGCCCTGGACCCACTGCCCGTGGCCGAGGCCAAGTCGACCTCTTCAGCGGCAGGGCTGAGCCTGTATGTCTCGAGTGACAGGCCTGATGCTATGTTCAGCTCCAAGACGATTATGCAGCACGTCAGCAAGCCAAACGTCCTGATGAACGCACGTCTGCACCGGCTGTGCAGGTACTACGAGGGCGCACCGAGGCTGCTGTGGTGCTATGAGCTCCAGGACTTACCAGAGGTTCTCCGAGTGGACGCGGATGCCGACTGGGCGTCTACGACTAGCCTCTTCAGGACTTCGACCTCTGGGGGAGTTGTTCGTTTCGGAGGCCACACGGTCGAGGCGTTCGCGGTCAGCCAGGCAACTCAAGCGTTGTCGTCAGGAGAGTCGGAGTTCTACGCCATCGGGAGTGGAGCTGCAAGAGGTTTGCAGGCGAAGCACTTCCTTGGAGAGGTAGGCGTCACCGTGCGTCTGGTCGTGGCCAGCGACAGTGCTGCAGGCAGAGGGATCTGCCAGCGCCACGGTGTGGGCAAGGTGCGCCACCTCGAGTTACGGTATCTCTGGCTACAGGACCGTGTACGGTTGCGACAGCTGGAGTTGATCAAAGAAGCGACCACGGAGATGGTTGCGGACATCCTCACGAAGTATGTGGAAGCAGAGACCCTGTTTAAGCACATGGCGACCATGAACCTGCGGCTCGTGCCGCTCGGAGCAGTGGTAGTGAGCGCGCTGCTACCGACGGTGCGCGGCCAGGAGACGGTGGAGGGCGCCAAAGGCGCGCCCTGGCTACTGATTGTGATGGCTTTGAGCATAGCGTTGCTGTCTTTTCTAGTAGGCTGTTGTGCTGGAGCCAGAGCGGGCTCCACTGCGGTTTGCTATGAGCGTCCCGAGACGCTGAGTGATGACAGCGCAGCTCCTGAGCAGACCGCAAGCGACGGAGATGCGAGAGTGCAGCTAGTTCTTTCAAGGCTGACAGTGCCTGACCTACGAGCCATTGCTCGTGCGAACAAGATTTGCCTTGGGGTGGGCTATGTAAGGAAGCAGCGCCTGATCGAGATGATTATCTGTGCTGGCGCGAGCCCCACCTGCGAGCAGGCAGAGCGCCTAGAGAGCGTTTGTGCCGTTCTTTCCAAGGCTGGTCTGAGTTGTTTTGTGCAGCCACGCCTGCTGTTCACTAAGCAGGGGCTGGAGAGTCATTTGGTGCTGTTAGAGACGGCTTGCACGCCGTTGCGGAAGATCTCGGATTGATCACCGAGATTGGAAGCAGTGATGCAGTTTTCGGCCCTTCACCGCTCCATGCCTGAGGAGAGGTGTTCGGATATGTAACAATTCAGAGGGGTACCCCAGCAGGTATTCCCAGGGCCAGGCTGAGGACAGAGAATGAGTTCTTGCATCGTCGCCATATTTTGGCTCAAGAAAAATATCCCCTCCCATCCATCATCCGAGTTTGGGGGAGGAGGATTGCTTTGCAGATTATGATCAGAATGTGAGCGAGGAAGATGAGAAGTAGGCGGAGGAGAACCGTCACATGCGACACCTGTCGTCTTCACTTCTCGACGAGCTCTCATGAACATTACTTGGGCTGTCTTTGTAGTGATTTTGGCTCCTGTGGGGCAGACCTGTGGGTCCCTTCGGGCCCTCTTGGACCGTCTTGGGGCCCTCGTGAGCCGTCTCGGGGCTCTCTTGGGGCCCGTAGCCGTCTGGGTGTCCCTTGGGGCCCTCGTGAGGCCGTCTTGCGCCGTCCAGGGGTCATCTCAGGCCGTCTTGGGTCCCTCCCAAGGCCATCTTGGACTACCTTCAGGTTCTCTTGGGTTCATCCTTGGCCTTCCAGGGTCCGCTGGGGTCGTCTCGAGGCCGTCTCGGAGGCCTTTGGGGCTCTCTTGGGGCCGGCCTGGGTTGTCGTAAAGCTATTCTGAAGGCCATTTGGGTCATCTTGAGCTGGCGGAAGGCCGAGAAGGCGAGACTGCGAACAAGTTGTGGAAAAGCGACAAAGGGGAATCCAGTATTATAGCATCTTCGGGCCCTGTTAAGAATTCTCTTGAAACCGTCTTGACAGCCTCCTGGGCAGTCCTCAAGCCATCTTGGGCTCTCTTGGGGTCATCTTGGGTCGTCTTAGAGACATCTTGGGCCAGCTCGGCGGCCTTGGTGGCCTGCCTGGGCCACCTTGGAAGCCATCTTGGTCGTCCTCGACTCTTTGGAGAGCGCCAGGGACAGGCCTGGGAGCCGACAGAGCCTCGGTGCGATGCGCGCGGGCCAGCGTGACGAGAGAGGGGGGTCCCTAGGCAATTACACAAGCCCAATCAGACAGCACTTGGAATTCTAGCACGCCCCAACGTGCCAGGAGGCACGGTGGCGGATAAGGAACAGGGATGCAGCAAGAGGATGGAGGAGGAACATTGCATGCGAGGTTGAGGAGGATGAGGAGGATGGGGAGGACGAGGAGGGGAGAGGGGAAGCAAGGCATGATTCGGGGAGAAAGTGGGTGTGGCTTCGGAGACAGCTCAGAAAGCTTCTCGGAAGCCTGGAAGCCGTCTGAGCCCTCTGAGAAGGCCCGCCCCCTCTGCCTTTCCCCCTTGTGCGCACCACCGAGGGGATGTGATGGGTAGGAGAGGACGCGAGGGACGCGAGGACGGGCAAGGGTCCGACACGCAGCAGAACAGTTGCAGAGCGAACGTAGCGTTTCGAGTACAGCCCGGCTCGTGAGCCGACCCCAGCGCCCTCGAGGCTGCTGACTGATGCCCTCGAGAATCACCGCGTCGACTGGCGCACCGAAGAGCTCTGCAGCCGCTCCGCATGTCGAAGCCAAGCCTCCAAGAAGCGGGAGGGGAAGCCCCGACTTTGCAGCGGCCGAGGAGATCGCGAACCTGCGGGACCAGATGCGGCAGATCTCGCAGCTGGAGCGCCGCCGCCCGCGGGGGCGCTCGGGGGGAGAGGAGGAGGAGGAGGAGGAGGAGGAGGAGGAGGAGGAGGAGGAGGAGGAGGAGGAGGAGGAGGAGGAAGGCCTTCTCAGAAGGCGGCGGGGCCTCTCAGAAGCCCTCGCGCCCGCTGAGAGGCGCTCTGGGTCCTCGGGGAGGACCAGGGGGCTTCCGAGCCTTCTGAGAAGGCCTTCCCGCAGATCCCCCACGGCATGTCTGTTTCATTACGTTCACCCGCCGAGGTCCTGACCCATTCCCTTGGACCCGTTTTCATCCGGAGTCGTTGTTTGACGGTCCCGAGGGCGTGTCAGGGCCCCCAGAGGCCGAAAAGAGCAACAAACCTTCCGTCATGAACTGTTCACTGCCCGAGGGGGCCTGGGGGCCTTCTCTCTTCCCCCCCGCGCCCTCCGCCAGGAGCGGGAGCGGGAGCGGGGCCGCCGAGGCGCCACGGGGCCCTCGAGCTGCCAGGGGCGGCCCGGCTCGCCCCCGCGGAGGCGCGGCACGGGGCGCCCGCCCCTGGCGGGGGGCGCAGAGGGGGAGCGCGAGCGGGAGCGGGAGCGGCGGCAGGAGCAGGGCAAGGCCTCGGAAGGCACTGCCGGGAGGCCTCCGCTTCCTCCCCCGCCTCCGCCTTGGCCGCCTCATCCTCTTCCTCCTCCCTCCTCCTCCCTCCTCCTCCCTCCTCCCTCCCTCCCTCCTCCTCCTCCTCCCTCCTCCTCCTCTCCTCCTCCTCCTCCTCCTTCCTCCTCTCCTCCTCCTCCTCCTCCTCCTCCTCCTCCTCCTCCTCCTCCTTCCTCCTCCTTCTCCTCCTCTCCGCGTCTCGCGCCTCCCCGCCGCCTCCCCCCCCGCCGCTGCCGCCTCCGCCTCCGCCCCCGCCTCCTCCTCCTCTATCTCCTCTTCCTCCTCCTCTCCTCCTCCTCCTCCTCCGCCTCTTCCGCGCCTCGCGCTTCCACGGCTGCGGGCCTTCGGGGGCAGGTGGCCCCGTATGATGGGGCAGGGCGGCCCTGCATCCGAGAGCAGGGGATCGCCTGTGATGTCGCCGTTCCTTTTTCAAAGGGTCGCCTCTCGGAGTTCCTCGTACTCTGTGTCCCTCAATGATTCTGGGCCCCCGCACTCCAGGTACCCCGCACTCCAGGTACAGGCACTCCGGCTCTGCCTAGAAGGGTTCTTACTCTGTTGGCTTAAAGGGGCCGGGCAGTGCAAACCGCCCCGGGCGGTTCCCCCAGTCCCCTTTGAGCCAAGCAAAGGCAACAGCAAAGGTAAAAGCAAACGCGCGGTTCCCCCAGTTGCGCTCCCTGGGTGCCATGCAAAAGCAAAAGCAAAGGCGAAAGTGAAGGCAAAAGCGAAGGCAAAGCAAAAGCATAACATAGCATAGCATAGCGCAGAATAGCATAGCGCAGCATAGCATAGCATAGCATAGCATAGCCTAGTCTAGCCTAGCCCAGCATAGCATTGCGCAGCATAGCATAGCATAGCAGAGCATAGCATAGCATAGCGCAGCGCAGCATCCACCAAAGCAAAGGCAAAGGCAAAAGCAGAGGCAAGAGCAAAAGCAAAGGCAATGCAAAGCAAAAGCAACACCAATGCGAAAGTGTAGATGTAGATGTACATGTAGGTATAGGTGTAGATGTGGATGTAGGTGTAGATGTAGATGTAGATGTAGGTGTAGATGTAGGTGTAGATGTAGATGTAGATGTGAGTCTCGCTGTTGATGTAGATGTAGATGTAGATGCAGGTGTAGATGTAGATGTAGCTGTAGGTGTAGATGTAGATGTAGGTCTAGATGTAGATGTAGGTGTCGATGTAGATGTAGGTGTAGACATAGATGTAGATGTAAAGAACTCCCCAGTGCCCCGCCCTCATCTTAAAGCCTGCTTGCTTTTGCTGCTCTCTCGGCGACTTGCTGCCTGCTTCTGCTGCTGCTTCACTTACGGCGTGGCGTCGGCGGTTCTGGCGCTACTACTACTACTACTACTACTACTACTACTACTACTACTACTACTACTACTACTACTACTACTACTACTACTACTACTACTACTACTACTACTACTACTACTACTACTACTACTACTACTACTACTACTACTACTACTACTACTACTACTACTGACTACCAACTACTACTACTACTACTACTACTACTACTACTACTACTACTACTACTACTACTACTACTACTACTACTACTACTACTACGGCGGGGGCGGCCGAGCTTCCGATGGGCGCGCGAAGACGAAGCATGCGCGCCGCGCTGGCCCAGCATTGCCGCTTTCACTCGCAAGCTGCACGGCGTCTGGGCGAGGCCGGCACTACTACTACTACTACTACTACTACTACTACTACTACTACTACTACTACTACTACTACTACTACTACTACTACTACTACTACTACTACTACTACTACTACTACTACTACTACTACTACTACTACTACT